TAAACTGGCACCTTTGCTTTTGTCTGTGTTTAACGAGTCCTTGGAATCAGGTTCATTACCTCCTACTTTCACGCAGGCCACCATAGCGCTCCTTCTCAAAAATGACAAGGACCCAACTTCCTGTGATTCTTACAGGCCATTATCTCTGCTTAATGCCGATGCAAAGGTATTGGCTAAAGTAATTGCGTCTCGCCTTGAGGATGTGCTTCCTCGAATTATCTCCGAAGAGAAGAATGGCTTTATAAAGGGACAGCAATTATTTTTTAATACCCGTACACTCTTTAACGTTATTTACTCAAAGGATCTATCTCAACTTCCTGAACTTGTGATTTCTTTAGATGCTGAAAAGGCTTTCGATAGGGTGGAGTGGGAATACTTGTTTGCAGTTTTGAAGAAATTTGGTTTTGGTGATAAATTTACTTCCTGGATTCAGCTTCTTTATTCATCCCCTAAAGCCAGTGTTCATACTAATGATGTTTACTCTGATTATTTTGCGCTGGGTCGTGGTTGTCGTCAAGGTTGCCCTTTGTCACCTTTACTCTTTGCCATTGCCATCGAGCCGCTGTCCATTACATTAAGATCTTCTTCTGTATTCAAGGGAATCACCCGTAATGGAATTACACATAAAGTATCATTGTATGCGGATGACTTGTTATTATATATGACTGACCCTGCTCGCTCCATTCCTGCTGTTTTAAGTATTCTGGAGAACTTCAGCTCGTTTTCAGGTTATAAATTAAATTTAGGGAAAAGTGAGGGTTTTCCTGTTAATACGGCAGCACGTCAACTCCAACAGTCCGATTTACCCTTTCGTCTTAGTCCCTCTGGGTTTAAGTACTTAGGGGTTAATGTGACTCGCTCTCTATCTGGCCTTAAATCAGCAAATTTGTCTCCTCTTTTATCTAGGATCACATCTGATATTCAAAGATGGGGTAATCTCCCACTTTCTTTAATCGGTAAGATTAATGTCGTTAAAATGAATATCCTACCAAAATTTTTATTTTTATTTCACTCAATTCCCTTATTTTTGCCGAAACATTTCTTTGTTTCACTGGACAAGATTATTGGTTCTTTTATTTGGGGAGGGAAGCCGCCTAGGGTTTCTAAAACGTTGCTGCAGCAATGCAGATTTAGTGGAGGACTTGCATTACCTAATTTTCTAGCTTATTACTGGGCCGCTCACATTCAAAAACTCTGCTACTGGCTAAAATCTTCTGGTTCCTCGTGGTGTAAATTGGAGCTATTATCATGTAAGGGCTCCTCTTTACCAGCTTTGCTCTATTCCTCTTTACCCGTAAAACCCTCTTTGTATACTGATAATCCGGTGGTTCTTAACACACTCAAAATCTGGTTTCAGTTTAGACGACACAATAATTTTGTAATGCCATCCTCTTCGGGTCCTCTAACCAACAATCATTTGTTTCCCCCTTCACTTTTGGACACGACATTCTCAGTGTGGTGTGACAAGGGTATAGGACAGTTTAAACATTTATATGTGGATGGTGTGTTCGATAGTTTTCCCAATTTGTCTTCTCGTTATAATCTCCCTATTACCCATTTGTTTCGCTATTTTCAAATTCGAAATTTTGTTGCCAAGTGTTTCCCGAATTTCCCCTTTTTACCTCCAGAACAGCGGTGGGAAACTATGTTATATTTTATTCCTCATCACAGAGGAACCATTTCGAAACTTTATGATGCTATTCTGTCTCTTAGTAACCACTCTAAGGTTAAGCTTAGGGGTATATGGGAAGGAGAGCTAGGAATTGGAATACATGAGGAGTCTTGGGAACAGGCTATAGCAAGGGTACGATCTTCCACCTCCTGCGCTCGTCTTGGACTTATCCAATTTAAGGTCATTCATAGGGTGCATTTCTCTAAGTCTAGACTTTCTGAACTGTATCCGGAAGTGGAAAATAAATGTGATAAATGCCAGGGTTCTCCTTGTCACCTTAGCCACATGTTTTTTTTTTGTGTCCTGAGCTACAACGTTTCTGGACAGGGTATTTTGCTATTATGTCAACTGTTCTTGGGGTAACTCTTCATCCTTGTCCTCTGATTGCGGTATTCGGGATTCCTGATCGCTCACTTACAGGTGCTGGCCAGTAAATTAGAATATCATCAAAAGGTTGAAAATATTTCAGTAATTCCATTCAAAACGTGAAACTTGTACATTATATTCATGCAATGCACACAGACCAATGTATTTCCAATGTTTATTACGTTTAATTTTGATATTTATAGGTGACAACCAATGAAAACATCAAATCTGGTATCTCAGAAAATTAGAATATTCTAAAGGCCAATGAAAAAATGTTTGTTTCTCTAATGTTGGCCAACTGAAAAGAATGAACATGAAAAGAATGTGCATGTATAGCACTCAATACTTAGTCGGGGCTCCTTTTGCCTCAATAACTGCAGTAATGCGGCGTGGCATGGACTCGATCAGTCTGTGGCACTGCTCAGGTGTTATGAGAGCCCAGGTTGCTCTGATAGTCGTCTTCAGCTCCTCTGCATTGTTGGGTCTAGCGTATTGCATCCTCCGCTTCACAATACCCCATAGATTTTCTATGGGGTTAAGGTCAGGCGAGTTTGCTGGCCAATCAAGGACAGGGATACCATGGTCCTTGAACCAGGTGCTGGTGGTTTTGGCACTGTGTGCAGGTGCCAAGTCCTGTTGAAAGGTGAAGTCTGCATCCCCATAAGGTTGGTCAGCAGCAGGAAGCATGAAGTGCTCTAAAACTTCCTGGTAGACGGCTGCATTGACCCTGGACCTCAGGAAACAGAGTGGGCCAACACCGGCAGATGACATGGCACCCCACACCATCACTGACGGTGGAAACTTTACACTGGACCTCATGCAACGTGGATTCTGTGCTTCTCCGCTCTTCCTCCAGACTCTGGGTCCTTGATTTCCAAAGGAAATGCAGAACTTGCTTTCATCAGAAAACATAACTTTGGACCACTCAGCATCAGTCCAGTCCTTTTTGTCCTTGGCCCAGGCGAGACGCTTCTTGCGCTGTTTCTTGTTCAAGAGTGGCTTGACACACGGAATGCGACACCTGAATCCCATGTCTTTCATGAGTCTCCTCGTGGTGGTTCTTGAAGCGCTGACTCCAGCTGCAGTCCACTCTTTGTGGATCTCCCCCACATTTTTGAATGGGTTTGTCGTCACAATTCTCTGCAGGGTGCGGTTATCCCTAGAGCTTGTACACTTTTTTCTACCACATTTTTTCCGTCCCTTCGCCTGTCTGTTAATGTGCTTGGACACAGAGCTCTGCGAACAGCCAGCTTCTTTAGCAATCACCTTTTGTGTCTTGCCCTCCTTGTGCAAGGTGTCAATGATTGTCTTTTGGACAGCTGTTAAGTCAGAAGTCTTCCCCATGATTGTGGTGCCTTCAAAACAAGACTGAGGGACCTTTTAAAGGCCTTTGCAGGTGTTTTGAGTAAATCAGCTGATTAGAGTGGCAGCAGGTGTCTTCTATATTCAGCCTTTTCAGAATATTCTAATTTTTTGAGATACCAAATTTGGAGTTTTCATTAGTTGTCACTTATGAATATCAAATTTAAATGTAATGAACATTGGAAATACATTGGTCTGTGTGCATTGCATGAATATAATGTACAAGTTTCACGTTTTGAATGGAATTACTGAAATATTTTCAACCTTTTGATGATATTCTAATTTACTGGCCAGCACCTGTATACTGGACTCCACACAAAAGCATATCATTGCCTTCACATCCCTATTAGCGAGATGTTTAATATTGTTACATTGGAAGTCTGCTAAGTGTCCTACTGTTTCCCAGTGGCTTAAAGATGTCATGTTTTTTTTAAAACTTGAAAAAATTAAATATACGCTGAGAGGGTGCACGGCCAATTTTTTTCATAAGTGGCAACCCTTTATCTCTTATTTTACTAGTCTAGAGGTATTACCTGTTTAATTGTACTTCTGTTATTGTTATATTCCGGTAATATGTTTGACGGTTGTGTTGATCTTTGTGGGACGGGGGGGGGGGGGGGGGGGGGGGGGGTTCTTTGTTTTTTGGTATGGTTTTTTTGTCTAATTGTCTTGTCCCCCTTTTTTTGTTGTTGTTGTTGTTCTGTCTGATTGTTGTTATTTACCTAGAAAAAATGAAGAAAGGTTAATTGTATTTTGGTAATTGCAAGTACTGTTGTTTTCTTCTTTCAATAAAAATATAATAATAATTAAAAAAAAAAGAATTTTTATCAGCAAATAAATCTAAAATTACATGACTTAGTTTAAACACAAATAATTATTTTTCATTTAAATTGATGTACAACATGTGAGATTCAAGGCATAAGGCAAAGCAAACCAGAAAAATAAGAAACTTCAATAGCTTCATTCTTACATTTTTTCCCCACTCAGGGGACCCGTGAGCCAAGCAAAAGGGGAGGAGACTTAAGTTGGGCATAACCGCACAGAAAGGGGCCGTTCGGACTTTTCTGGTAATGTTGAAGACATTTTGCCTCTCATTCTAGAGGCTTCTTTAGGTGCCATAATTTGATTGTAGTCAGAAACAAACAGACTGATTGTTCTGCAAGTAATTTTTTTCTTTCTGCGTTTTTGTCTAAATTAAGGTAATATTATTGTTCATAGAATTAAAAATCATGTTGCCGTTCAGATTTTTTCATCGAGTAAGACCTGTGGTTAGCTGGCACATTTAAAATCATGTAAAGTCATTGGATCCTGCCACTTGAAAGAATCTGAATGGGGAATCAATAGGAACCGGAATTGATGAGGAATTGGAGTCGAAAAAGGAATTGTTCAATTTCAAACTATGTCCAACCCTAATTGCTGGTCATGAGGTGTTAATCGCCTCTCGCAACCCCACGTATACTACACGACGTAAAACTTGCCCCGACTTCAAAGGCTTTTGCATAAGAGAAAAATTAGCTCAAAATGGTCCAAAAACCTTACAGTGTACGCCTGGCTTTAGGCTCCCTATATGTGTCAAATAATAATTTATCATCAAACTTACCATGAATTAATGAGTTCCTAAACACAGGTCAGACAGAGCAGTCATGGCGTGAGGTAATTGGTTGCTGGATGGTAGAAAGCCGGTTGACTGTCGGAGTGTCTTTTTGGCAAGTGGACTATTTGGCTCTCTGGAGATGCAGGACAAAGCGAGGATGAGGTGGGACTTCTTTTTAGCACAGGGAAAAGAGGTTACTGGTGTCACCATCCCTGATTGCATGGCACTGAGAAGGACATCAAAAATGAGCTGAGGTGGGAAAACTCTCCTTTTACTTCCCAACTTCTTCTCTTCCTTCTCTCCCTGCTGCCTTCTAATCTTCCTTGGATTTTGGTGAAAGGATCATTTATGAACATGAGAGCACAGAGGGGTGGTGAATGTACAGCATCTGAAAAACATGGGGACATAAAGAAGACAACATAAACTTCTAACTCAAAATTTCAATCTTTTCTATTAAAGAGTAAGATATAGATCCAGTCGTTAATGACAGTGAAGTGAAACCACAGGAAGGGTGAGTAACACAGTGTCTCCTCAAAATGTGGCAATGTGGCACCTTCCTGTTTCAACTTGTTGCAGTATGTTTATTGATTTATGTATACAGAAAGGATTAAAAAGACTAAAAGCTTCTGCAGGCTTTCCACAGATGCTAAACCGTTGGGATCATTGCACAGACATGCATATTCGTGTTCTTATGCTATTATGATGTTGAGCTACATTTAAGGACTTGCACGTGTTCGACTCGTCGGTCTACTTTCTCACTCCCATCTAATCAGTGATAAGATACTTTGTCAACTAGCAAAAAAAGCTGTTTCATTTGTGTGTCTTACTGCCAAATTGTTAAAAGAAAAACTTGTTGTTCTGCTTCAAACAGATGTTGGTGGATTTCAGAGCTACATGTGTTTGGCTGCCTTTGGACCAAGCTTAGATGATAGAATTTAGACCCTACTGGGACTGAGGATGAGCAGATCTTAACCCTCTGGAGGCAGGCGTTGCAGATTTGCAACAGTTAAAATCTACCTACCTGGTTACTCCACATATGTATTTCATGAGCATTTTTAAACTCACAAGTGCCCCTGAAGGACTTGGTTCTACATTCTTTTATCAAAACTTATTTTGAGCCTGAGAGGGTTAAAATGATACATTGATCTAGTGCAGGGGTGCCCAGTCCTGGTCCTAGAAGGCCAGCGTCCAGAGGTGTGACATTGTGGCATCATCAAGTCATCTCCGTGTCATGTTTTTGTTCTGCTCAGCAATTAAACCAGGTGATTTCAATCAGCACAGTGAATTAACCTGGTTCAGTTGCTGAGCAGAACAAAAACATAATATTGATGCCACAGTGTCACACCTCTGCCGGCATCCATCGGGTTTTAGGTTTAACCCAGCTTCAGCACACCTGATTTCAATCAGCAGGTAATTAACAGGCTTCTGCAGAGCTTTTTGAGCTGCTGCACAGTAGGGGTTGTATGACTTAATTTTTGGTCGACCGCCAAGTAATGAAAATCGAGCAAACTTTGACTAGTCGTTGATGACGTCACACACCTAACCACCTGAAGCAAGGTGTTTTTTTCCAACGCACCGGGGGGGGGGGGGGGGGGGGGGGGGGGGGGGGGGGTTGGTTCGCTGGAGTTTGCGACATTTAAAATTGCGCCCACATTTTCTAAGTTAACACACATTTCTTTTTACATTACAACGGTAGTTTCTGCATCCTGCTTCAGCCCTCTCCCCCCTCCCCCTGCGCAGTCGGTTTTCTTAGTTTAGCATAAAACAATGTAAGTGAATTCACAATACATTGTGTTTTTTATGTAGATGAATACAAGCCTTCCCTTCCATTGCTTTATGCTAAAACAAATGGTTACAAAATGTTTTTTTCTGACTTAGCTAACTCTGGGGAATCTAACAACACACACAAGTTTAGGGACAGAAGACCCCTATGAGAATATTAAAATAATAAAAATGCAGCAATGAATAAAAAGTAATACTTGAGCTTTGTAACAAAGTAACACTCTGTGGAAGATAACTTGGTGAACTTATTTACCCTGGACAGGAAATAATTGCACATAAGAAACATAAATAAGAATAAATTTAAAAAGTTCCAAAACGATAATTTGTGTTCAAAGATCAAAGGATTGGAGCCCCACAACATGAGTTCATAAAGCTGGCGCCATCTGCTGGATAGGTAGCGCAATATCAGCCGTATCGGCAGTCTTTTTGGCCGATAGCCGATAGTGTTAATGACCCCAATATCGGACGATAATATCGGCCGGCCGATATATCGGTCAGGCCCTAGACCTGATTGATCATGCGCCCTGGCTACTTGTACAGGGGAGATCTCCATCTGGTTGACTGGTTAACACGCGTGACTTTCACCCGGGAGTCTGGGGATCGAATCCCGATTGGACCATTTTTTTTTATATCCGCCACAGATCTCTCTGAAGAATTCACAACATTGACGGCTTCAGCAACGCTGTGCCACTACGATGATTTTCTCTTATTTGTTTTGCAAAAGCACTTCCTTTTATTTCTCCACCTCACCCACAGGTACCTCAATTTCTGCTTCTGTGAAATAGCGCTTCCTTGATCTGCCTTGATCTATGGTCGCCATGTCATTGGCGGAGCACTGGAGCAGCCAGCTTATGTATATGCATGAGCTCCACAAGGCACTTTGCATTGACTATTTATGGCAGTAAGTGGGGCGTGGAGGGGGAGGGATGTGACTAAAATGCAGCTGAGAAACATTCTCGTTAGTCTCCGACTTATGAAGCGGAGATTGCGTGCAGCTGTGCGTACTCCATGTTTGATAAATCACAAACCTACTTGGCATAAGTACTTGTTTTTTTGTTTTTTTTGCTGAGCTTAAGTGCGGTTTTAGTAAAGATTCTACGCAATGTTTGATAAATGAGACCCCTGGACAGTCCTCGCTGCACTGAACTGTATAGACAACACAACTAAGCTTCTGTATGGGTGAACGATTTAGGAAAAGATTGAATTGCCAAATTTTTTTCCAGGAACAATTGTGATTTCAGTTCAATCCACGATTTTCTTCAAACATGATCAGAAATCGGGTCCGATCACGTGATTTTCAGAAAATCGGAATCGGTGGGAAAATCGGATTTAACCACTCTCATTTTCGCTTCTAAGATTATAACAACCACTGTCACATGACTAAACAAATACACATCATCACCTTTTTGCATTTCTAAAGTATCAGATTGGGACTCAGTATCTGCAGATTCTTAAAATCAAATGACTCTGAATCAGATTGGGAGTAAAAAAAAACGTGATCGTAAGCATAAGCTACTCACACTTACTGAGCCACTCTGAGCCTGATGAATCCTGGCATTGTCATCTTGGAATATGCTCGTGCCATCAGGGAAGAAAACATCCATTGATGGAATAACCTAGTCATTCAGTATATTCAGGTAGTCAGCTGACCTCATTCTTGGAGCACATCCTGTTGCTGAAGCTAGACCTGACCAACTGCAGCAACCCCAGATCATAGCACTGCTCCCACAGGCTTGTACAGCAGGCACTAGGCATGATGGGTGCATCACTTTCTTCCTACCCTGATGCATCCATCACTCTGGAACAGGATCAATCTAGAATCATCAGGCCAGTTTTTAAGAATGAGGTGGACAATTCTTAATCCAATTTTAGTCGTTTCTGCATCTCCTTAGATATTTTCTCTGCTTGATGCATGCCAATGATTCTTCTCAAACAGAGTAACATCTTTTCCATGACCACGAGATGCAGGAAAAAAAAACATGCAGGAAACATGCTGGAACCAGACTCCGTTTTTTCCAAGTCCAACAGGTCTGCCAGTCTGAAGTTGCAAATGCGGTATTCTGGCCACAGGGGGTGGTGGGGTTCTGAGTGACATTTCATTAACCCTGTAAAGGGTCATTTTAGCACAACCTGGCTCCAGATAATTATTTAAAAATATGAAAAAGTTGCATAATATGGCTTTAAAGACTGACAACAATAAGGACTTCTTATTTATATTGTGATATAAATTGATATCGACTGATTTGAAAATGTATTTAGAGATAGGATTTTTTTTTCATATCGCCTAGCCCTACTATGTCAATAGCTAATATAAAGGCAAGCAGTTCATGTTTGCCGACCATCAACCAAAAACACAAGAAGATGAAAACGTAGAATTTTGCTTTTTTTTGGCATCATAATGGAGCCTGTCAGTAAAGGGAAAAGTGGGAAACATTTTAGGAGTTACTTTAAAAACCATTGTATTTAGAGTTGCAGCCCAATTATTGCGAACATTTGATTGGATTTAGTATCAGCAACTGTTTTTTTAGTGGATTTGGAGAAAGTATTCAACCACGTCCCTCAGACAGCCCTGTTGGGGGTACTTTGGTAGTATTGGGAATTGGGCCATTTATTACGGGTTGTTAGGTCCCTGTATGACTGGTGTCAGACTTTGGTCTGCATTGTCAGCAGAAAGTCGGGCTCGTTCGTGGGACTCTGCCTTAGCTGCCTTTCATCACCGATTCTGTCCATAACTTTTATGAACAGGATTTCAAGGCATAGCCAAGGTGTTGAGGGGATCCGCATTGGTGGCCTAATGATCGTGTCTGCTTTTTGCAGACGATGTTGTCCTGTTGACTTCATCAAAATGTGATCTCCAGCTTTTGCTGGAGCGATTTTCAGCCAAGTGTGTATAAGCTGGGATGAGAATAAGATCCTCTCAATCTGAGACCATGATGTTTAGCCGGGAAAGGGTGTCTTCTCCAGATCAGGGATGAGGCCCTGCCCCAAGTGGAGGAGTTTAGGTATCTTGGGGTCTTATTCACGAGTGAAGGAAAGATGGATTGGGAGATTGACAGGCGGATTGGTGCTGTCTGCAGCGATGCGGGTGTTGTTCTGGTCTTTGCTAATGAAGAGAGAGCTGAGCTGAAGGCGAAAGCTCTTGATTTACTGGTCGATCTACGGGCCAAACATCTCCTATGGTCACAAGCTTTGGGTCATGATTGAAAGAACAAGATTGTGGATACAAGTGGATGAAATTTGTTTTCTCCACAGAGTGGCTGGACTGGCTCTTGGAGATAGAGTGAGAAGCTCAGTCATCCGGGAGGGGCTTGAAGTAGATCCGCTGCTCTACCACATCAAGAGGAGCCAGTTGAGGTAGCTTGGGCATCTATGGATGACACCTGGACACCTTCCTGGTGAGGTTTTCCTGACACATCCAACCAGAAGGAAACCCAAAGGCAGACCAGGACATGCCAGATGGATGATGTCTCTCGGCTGACCCGGGAATGCCTTAGGATTCCCCGGAGGAGCAGGGCCAAGTGGCCGGGGACAGGGAAGTCTAGGCCTCTTTGCTTAGGCTGCTACCCTCACGACCCAAATAATCGGATGATAATTTATTTTCTATCCCATCTAATTTAGGTAAAACTAATGTAAAAGCACATATTACATGTGTTTTCCATCCCACCCCAATGAAACAGCATGCTTTCTGAGAGCTGCTCCCCCAATGAGAGGGATGTTAATGTTTGCTCATGGCAGTTTATAAACTAGGCTAAAAACAAAGGTTTCTCATGTATTTTAAAAGCCTGTGAAAAAGGAATTTGCTTAGCCATGCGTAAAGATATATTATTATGAAATGCACTTGTAACACAGCAACTTTAGAAACATTTTCTTTCATATAAGATATGTCTATAAGTACTAGAACCATTTCCCCTTATGCCTGCATGTGTTTATAATAATTTTAAAGAGTTTTGGAATAAATTGTCAATATTCCTGTCATAAAATGATTTTTTTACTATATGTGTGGTATGTGGACTAATATCTCCAAAATAACTTTAAAAAAATTAAATCTATTCAATTCCGTAATGTTGTGTGTGGTGAAAAAGAGACATATATCATTACTTATTATATATGGTGTTTGGCTGCTTGTGTAAACATCCTCAGTGAAAATATATTATAAAATCTCTCTTGTGCTGATAAGAAAGTTTGCAATGTGTTTACTAAGTGAAGGGTACAAGTTAATGGAATTTATCAAGAAGTCTCCCAGGATGTAGTTGCAACACAACCTGGGTTCCTCTGACTCAACACACCCATGGGAAACTGCAGTGTGGGTGTTCCTTCAGCTGTGCACTGCAGGATCTCATCTTTTGCATTTTTACAGAGAGAAAAGCGTAGACAGACGCAAACCCTCCTGGGAGATGTTGGTTTATTTAAGATGCACTCTGCAGCAACCGCAGCGTCTATTAATTCTGTCCAAAAGGCCTGGGAATATCTCCATATAACAAGCACAAGCTCATCGGACCCAGCTCTCGGGCTCTGTGCTCTAGCTTTGCTGGTTAGCTTACATGGTTCCTCCTGCAGCCACTCGAAACTATCCGAACCCAGCCGCGGCAGGTCCGACAAGCAAAAAGGGATGCCGTCTCACAGCTGACACCACCGACTCACAACGCGGTTAGAGAGAGGGCTGCTCGGTGCTGCAGACTGTCGCACAAACAACCTCCAGAAATCAAACACCACCCACTTTCTCGTTGCTAGCTTTAGCCGACAGCGCGCGAGCTGCTTGTCTGTGGCAGCTAGAGGAGGCACCGAGCTAACTGTCAGCTAGCCAGCCTGAGCGGAGCGGTTAGCGCACAAGAACCGGGTTCTTACCCCTTTAGGTCGGGCTGTCAGTGTCCTAGAGTGACAGTTGTGGAAACACGACGTTTCGACGCTTTACATACTACATAGTATATGGGAATCCTGCGGTGTAAAGTCCATCGCCGCTGTTTTTCTGCCATCCGCCCCACTTCAGCACCGATTTCCACCGAGCCTCTGGATGCACTGCGCAGGCGCGCCGCCACCGCTGCTCTGTGGCTGCGGTCGGTGAGAAGATGCGCTGCTGTGGCACACACACACACACACACACACACACACACACACACACACACACACACACACACACACACACACACACACACACACACACACACACACACACACAGTGATTCCATCTAAAACATTCTTGGAATATTCCCAACATTTTTAATTCTGTAACAATGTCTTTATTTTTGCATAAGCTACTTTCGGTGAGTTAATATTTTCTGCCTTTAAAACTCATTTAGATAATATTTTCTTCTATGCCAATTTTCCTTGAAAATGACAGGGATTTAGGACAAACACTGGCACTTATTTGATTTAATGTTTTAAGTTGTAGCAACACACTTTTAGTGAATCAAACTGAAGCTGAAACTACAGCAAACTACGAGCAGTTCCATTCATTCACCCTCTGATTTATTATGATGTAACTACTTTAAAAACGTGTTAAAGATGTGTTCTGTTGAGCATTTTACTGCATACAATTTCCAAGAATAAAGTATCTATTATAATGTATAAAGTGTTACTTATTCAAGAAAAAGAAAACAATCCACTGAGTTGGAGTGCATCATCAATTCCTTGGAGGACTCAGTAGCTAAGAAAGAAAGAACAGTTTCCTTTTCTAACACGAGGGGGCACTAAAACTCTGTCCAGCCTCTATTCTCTCACCTGTTATTATTTCAACATGTCCACCAGAGATGGAAAAGCACTTGCAATTGTCAGTAATTTGTATTAATAAAATCAGTTGAACTGGTCAGAATATACCTAACTGACTGGCTTTTTGGCTCTTTAATAATCCAATGGTGGATGACCTCTTGGCCTTATTTATTCATGAGTGTCACTTGGATGTTTGTTTTCCTCATACATCAAGGATGGTGGCACTGACTTGCATGTAAAAAGGTCAAGAGCTACAGAAGGACTACAAACAGTTAAGCATGAAACTGTCATTGTGCAAATGTGTAATTGTACAGATGAATCCACGCATGCAAACATCGCCGTGCACCTCATTTTGCACGTTGTCAGTGCATTTTAAATAGGATTGGAAAATGTTCAGATGCAAGCAGATGCACTTGTGAAGTAATACTTATGTGTACTCATGAGTGAAACAAGATTAAAGCATATGCCCGAGTTGAAATGCTGATCGGATTGTGGGAAATCTTTCTCCAATTTGTTTTCTACATAACACTTATACACATTACTAGGATGTGACCATAACATTCTCTGCACCAGTCAGAGATGCAGGGAAATGTTAGCAAATAAAGACTAAATCTTCAAATATACATCACTATACCTGAGGAATACATAGGTCAGTCGATGTTGACAAAGTTAAAACTTTAAGTTCAAGGTTTACTTAAAAACATCTTTTTTGGACTCTAATGGTCAGCTGCATCCCAAGACAGAGAAAAAACACCGCCAATTATTCCTTTCAGAGCTGTGCTTTACTGAGAGTTACAAGGTCCTGGGTTGATGCTGTTTTGAACCACCTTTATGTTTACTACCGCAGCCTTGATCAAAGTAATGCTTCTTAAAGGCTTTCTTCACAACAAAGCTTGCACTGCCCAGTAGAGAACTCATCAGTGAAGAGCCCCAAGGTGCTGTGATGAATCTGCCTCCAAACTCCATTTTGATTCTGGACCTATTCAGATGTGATAATTAAGTGTTCCTGACTGAGACCCAGCAACACAAATAATTTTACAAGCAGATGGGCATGAAATAGTGTGTTTTGAATTCTATCAAGTTATTATTTAAATAGGCAAGAAAAATTAAGCACAAATCCTTACTTGCATCTGTGGTCTGGCTAAATTTAGAATCATGATTATTGAAAGGAGATTTTTCACAGCTATGTTCATCTTTTTAACACCTTAATATAACAGCTGAAATGTCTCCCCAGCCTTCATTAGTGTCTATGGGTGTTACGACTGGTGATAGTATTGGTGAAGGACGTCGTGACATAAAAGGCGTGGGGTCGTAACATAAAAGGCGTGGGGTCGTGACATAAAAGGCGTGGGGTCGTAACATAAAAGGCGTGGGGTCGTAACATAAAAGGCGTGGCGTCGTAACATAAAAGGCGTGGGGTCGTAACATAAAAGGCGTGGCGTCGTAACATAAAAGGCGTGGCGTCGTAACATAAAAGGCGTGGGGTCAGCAAACAATTTTATAACAAATAAATGACCAAACTCATGTAGGTCAGTTAAATACAAGAACTAAAGGTGACCTCCTAAAGAGGAAAAAAAACAAGGACTTGAGGGATGTTACGGTTGCCAGTCTGGCCAGGGAAGAGCAGGAGCCAGAATCACCCAGCTATAGTGAAACAGCCTGACACCGCCCCTCCTCCTCCTCTCCCCCGGGCTGCTGAGGAGCACAGCTGAGCTGAATCTTCCTTGATTGCCAACACCTGTATAAAAAGGCTGTGCCTTCAGCAGTCTGGGAGGCAAACACTGGACGGAGTAGGAGGTGATCATTTCTAGACTGAGGTTTGGACATAATAGGGAAACATAATACAGGGAAATGCGATTATTGTGGAGAAGAAGAAACTATAGGTCATGTTATGTTACAATGTCAGAAATATCAGGCAGAAAGGAGGAAAATGATTCAAGTTCTTAGTCGGATGGAAGTGACACTCGACCTTATTGATTTATTAAGACGTAATTCAAAAAGTGACTGTTTTCAGGTTTTATTTCAGTTTTTGAAGGAGATACGGGTGTTTGGGAGAATTTGATGTATATGTGTGTTTGTGTGTGTGTGTGTATATATATATATATATATATATATATATATAATATGTGTGTGTGTGTGTGTGTTTGAGCGCTATTCCAGACCACACTCCACACTAGTTGGTGGCGGTAATGCACCATTTGTTGTGTGCCAACTGCCATTTAAACTCCAGAAGAAGTCTGGGAGGCAGCAGTGCAGGGGTTCTGCTGTCCTCCAGGTTTTGTTTAGTTTCAACCCCTTTTCGTTTGGATTTGTTTGAGTTTTAAACTTTGGTAGTTTTTAACTCTTGGAGATAAGTTTGGGATGATCCAGTGGGATCCTTTGATGTTTGTGTTCGGTTTTAAGGTTAACTTTGTTTGTGCAATTTTATTGACCTCGGTTGTAAACACCTTTTGTTGTGGTAAAGTGTGGTAAAGCTTTTAAAATAAGTTTTTACCAGGTGTTTTTAGTCGGTGGATTGTTTTGGAACTTTTATCAACTTCAGGATTTTACAACACCTTCTGTTCGGTTAAGCTTTTAATACAAGTTTTAACCAGGTGTTTTATAGTTGATAATTTGCTGTGTAATGTTAACCTTTTAGAGAGATCTGTTTGCTTGTGTTTTTAATACCTTTTAGTTACAAATAAACCCATTTTAAACTCCTCCGCCAGTACTTATGTTACCCCCATCCTTCACATTTTTACAACACCTGTCGGGGACGTAACAAGGGAACACGCAAGCTGTAGCTCAGCTCCACTAATATAATAAACCAATAAGTCAGAGTAGACTCACAAATTCAGCTATTCCCCCTTTTGGGCTAAAATAGAAAGTAAACCGATAAAGTCCAAACCAACTAAGGGCGAGCACAGGGCTGTTAAAGTAATGGAAACAAAACAGTAATAATTACTAAATCAAAGCGCTTTTGAGCAAGCACACCAAAAGAAATACTTATGCTCCACTGAGCACACACAGTCAACAGGTTAACTTAACATCTACAAATGCTCCACTGAGCAAGCATAGGAAGTAGGTTCAAACCAACCAATTTGCTACCTCTATTGAGCACAATCTCCAAAAGTTCCACAGAACTCAGAGCAAAACCAAACTCAATGAAATTACACTATGTTCAAAACTAGGTGTGTTGGATTTAATTCACTCTCAAGGTATTCCCCACTCTTTCTGCTCCCTGGTTCTTCTTCTGGTGTTTTAATGGTGGTTGGCAAACAACAAATGGTGCATTACCGCTACCAACGAGTGTGGAGTGTGGTCTGGAACAGCGCTCGTACAACAAAATCAAACAGGGGAAATAAAGAAAAAGAAAAAAAATACATATATACAGTATACACAAACATACACACACATATACATACAAATACATATATACATCAAATTCTCCCAAACATCCTTATCTCTTTTAAAAACTGAAATAAAATCAGAAAACAGTCACTTTTTGAATTCTGTCTCAATAAATCAATAAGGTCTAGTTTCACTTTGATCTAAGATTTTGAATCAATGTCCTTCTTCCTGCCTGATACTTCCGACATTGTAATATGACATGAACTATAGTTTCTGCTCCCTGGCTCTTCTGGCCACGCCCTTTTAAAAGCTCAGAAGCTGTTTAGGGATTGAGCGCAGCTGGAAGGCGGGAGGAAGGAGCAGGAGCGAAGGAGGGGCTGCTCCTCTCTGCAGGGAAGTGGAGCAGGAACAGGAGCATGTAGAAACTGGTGATCATAACAATGGGAGTGATTCATCATTTTTAAAAATCAGCTGTATTCATGATCTAAAACATGCAAGAAACATGCTGAAACCAGACTGCAGCACCAGGTATGTCAGCTCCATTTTTTTTCTAACTCCAACTGGAGGCTGCCCACCACTCTGAAGTTGCAAATGAGGTATTCTGGTCACATGATTTAAAAACATGAAAAAGTAACATAGTAACAATATTAACAATATTACCAATGTACTTAAATATATGAACAGTACTCTCACAAACTGAAATGGAAAGAAAAGCAATAAAGGTAGCAGTGATACTGTTTCTCCACTTGTTCAAAAAATTTGAACATCAAAATCGATGCTCCTTGCAAACATTTGAATTTTGTTATTTTACTTTTAAACCCCAATGATAAGAACTGAATTTTTGTTTTATGACAAAAAATCTCTTACTGTGGAAATTAACAAAAAAATTTGGTAACACTTTACCTCCCTTTATTAATGTTACTTAGTTCATTATTAAGCATTAATAAACAAAGGGTCCCACTATCAACATCCCCGGTATTGTTAACTATTAAGTGTCCTA